AGCATTCCCAGTGATCAGCCAGAAATATGTTTGGCTCCTTTCCTCTTTTGCAGCTGTTTTCAGTCTCGCGAAGCCGTGCCAGCTCCCGGTACATTTCATCAATTTGTAGCGTACAGGTTCCAGGAGCGTCAAGCGCACTGTGGCGACCAAATACATCCCCCCCCCTTTTCTACTTCAAGCACTCTGTTTATGAGAAGTATTGGCTTATGATGGCAGTGCTTTAAAGCACCCCCCCCCATTTCCCATAAAAGTTTATTGGAGAGGAGCCTCTCTCCCTCCTCCTCCTCCTCCTCGAAGCTAGCACTCATCCCATTAACCTTTGCCCCACTTGAGATCTCCCTACCGTCTTCCATAATGATGCTCAAGGCAGCATCCGTGGGCCCGTCTCCCATTCAGCCAGGGAACTGAGCCGTATGTGATGCAGGCCTTTGTCCAGGGCAGGGCGTAACAGAGTTCCTCCCCCTGTTGATGCCTTAAATGGTGCGTTCAGGTCACTAAGGAGGCCATCAAACTGGGCCACTATGGAGGCATGTCTGTGGAGCGCATGAAGCTCGCTCTGGCCTTTAGTCATTGTGTTTCTCTAGCCCTCCAAAGAAATGCCTGCTAAGGGCAGGTGCATCGCTCCACCCTCCACCCAACCTGACCCATTGGGGACTAGGAGACGGGTGGGGGGGTAGATAGGTTCAAATTAGCCACCTCCACCTCAGCTCCAGAGGGGGCCTCTGTTCCTGTGCATGCACGAAAAACACAGTAGGAGGGAATGAAAGAAACTTCACCCTTACAAACGCCTGTGCTTTTTGCTCCCAAGGAGGTTTGTGAAGCAAAACACGTCCGGTTTTCTTTTTTACCCGCACCGCGTCCTCCTTGCCGGCTTTTCCCTTTCCAAGGCTTTTTGGTTTCTGTTTTCCTTGTTACCCCCCCACCCCACCCCACCCCTTGTGCACAGCCAAACTTTGAACAATGCAGACTGGGGAGGCGGGGGGGGGGAGGAGGATAAATGTTTGGCTGGTTCCTGCAGCAGCTCTGAACGAGGCTGAGGCACTCTGGGGAGAGATGGGTCTGGAATCTTTATTAGGCCAGACTAAAAATGCAAAACATTTCAAACTGGCTGGTGTCTCTCTCTCTCTCTCTCTCTCTCTCCACTTCCCATCCCGTCCCGCCTGCCTCTAAAGCCCTCGGCCTTCATCCCCCCCACACCCCCGCCAGCCCAGCACAAAGAGCTGTGAAATTTCTGGCCTGTGTGGCAGAAAGAAGCAAATGATTGGAGAAGCAAGAGGAGTGGATGCTTTGGCCAGACCCTGTGATCTTCCCCTCTCTATCTCTCCCCTTCCGAATTCAAGGATGCCTCTGCGCTTCTGCTTCCTTCTTTCGCACCATCCAGTTTTCCTTTGCCTTTATGGTCCCACAGGCGCCCTTGGGTGTCCCCATCCCCCCCCCGCTGACCCCTTTGGGAGCTCATTTCTGAATAATTTTTTTCAGAACATCAATCGTTTTAGAATATCTTTGTAGAGATACCGCCCTTCCGCAAGCCACGGTCTGAACTCCTCCTTCATCCAAGCCGTAGTTTAGCCGCTGCTGCTGCCTCCGCTGTAGCTTTGACACAGAGAGGATGCTGAAAAGAGAGCTTGAGGAGGAAGGGTCGAGTCTGTGCTTTTTGCACAGAGCTTGCCAAGTTCCTTTTCCTGGGAGAGAGATGGACTCTGAGCCTATGCAAAGTGTCTTCCCCATACCCCAGTTGGTCTGTTCCCACACAGCTAGGATTGCTGGGCAACTGCTTCAGAGTCACCCTTGGGTTGTTTTCCCCCCCAAGGAGAGGAGGCCGGCGGGCTGGGCTCACCAGCAGAGGGGGACTAGAGGCCAGCGTTGGCACTTCGCCTAGCTCAGCTGCAGACTAAACTTGGGGGCAGGAGAACAGCTGCCCCAGGCCCATGGAAGCTTCCTTTCCTTTGGCAGGCCTCCTCCACCGGCCGCCTTGCCCTCCTTCTCTGCCCCATATCTCCTGCACGGCTGTGCCAAGGGGCCGAGTGGGTCTGATGGTGAAACGTCAGAGAGGAGGATGGGCAAAAGGTGGCACAGAGCAGCCCCCCCCCTCCGCAGGGGCTTCTGAATAGCCTCTCGGCTGGGTTGGGCCAACGCTTGATCCCGGCTGGTGGCCTCTTTCCCACGGTGGCCAGCTTGTATCCTCTGGGAAGCTCCTAAGATATGTGGGAGAGCCGAGGAATATCTTCCTTTGCTCCAGTGGCTAAACTCCGGATAGCAGGTGCAGACGAGGGACCCGGTAGGTCGGCGAGAGGGGTTGAGCAGCTGGACCTGGCCTCGCCCTGGAGAAAAGGCCTGCCGGTCTTCACACCCCCAATGGGTCCCCTTCAAAGGTTCCCTGCCACCTTGGGATCTGCGCTCGTTCTTTACTTCTTTCATTCCGTTTCTTTTCTTTTAATCCCCTTGCAAAAATTTGGAACGGGAAAAGTCACTGTCGTGGTAAGGCAGAGTAAGCAACAGTGCCGTGGATATCAAGTGGGCTCATACGGGGAGCATCTCGTCACGGCAGTCTCCTTCATGGGTTTCTGCAGCTCTGTCTTGGGTGGCCACTGTGGTGTAACGGTCAGCTAGCACTTTCGACTTTATGGCTCATCTTTTAAAAGAAAGAAGAAAAAAACAGTAGGCAATCTGCCGGCCCCTTCTTTCTCCCTTTTGGAAAGGGTGAAACCTTTTTGCCGTCTGTTTAGAAGAGATGGGCCCTAAATTCCAAATTGCTAGCCGAAGAAGAGCCTGAATCCAACATGCACAACACGCAGCCGCTTCCCTCTTAAGAAGCCAACCTGGCCTCTCTTACACCATCAGCCGGGTGAATTTGGGACAGCACCTACGTTTGGGACCGCCCCACAAGCATGTGAAGAACAAGAGGTTTCATTGAAAGCTCGCTGTTTGTTTATATAGATATTTTCTTAATGGTCCATTAAAGGGATCACCTGCTCCCGCATTTGTATTGTTTCCACAACTGTGTGGTTTTTTCCTGGAATATCTTTGTAACACATGGCCAGAGACACCCTGCCCCACTTCTTGGTCTGGTACTGGGATTGGGGGAGGCAGGCCATGGACTGGATGAGGCCAGGGCTCCTTTTACCTCCCCCCTGTCCCAGCACGTAACAGGAGTCACTTCTTCCCTCTCCTTTCAGAATCCAGAGATCTCCTCCTCCTGCGCTGAGGAAAACATGCTTGACGATGGTGGTCCAAGTGGAGGCAGCAGCCAAGGTGAGTTTTATCCCACAACCTGTTCCCTCTGTGTGTTTGTGTGTGTGTTCGTGTGCATGCATGTGTCTCTGTCGTCGTCTTTTACGTGAGATTCTTTTTTTTAACTATGTGAGATTCTGGTTAAACAAAAAGCGACCGCAAAGGCAGAGAGCATCAAGCATGAACACAGAGGAGAAAAGGGTTGTCGTGGTACCTCCCCCCGTACGGCAGCTGCTGGATAAACATTGGGGGAAATCGTAGTCGTCCTCGCCCCTACTGTGCCCGACCCTCAACAAGCCTGGCCAGCGTGGATGGGAGTTACAACCCAGCACCGTGGGGGTGGTTGGGGTCATGTTGCCCACTCCTCTAATGGAGGCAGGCAGGACAGACACAATTTATGCACGTCCCTTTAAAAAAACAGTGATCTGGCCATTTTTCTGTGGCTAGTTTCTTATTCCCACGAGATCCTCCCCTCGATTTGTCCTGTTTTGGGGATTTTTGTCTGTTGGGTTTCTGGCCGCTCCTGGGGCTTTGCTCTGTGTTGGTCAACCGCTACCTGGAAACAGGTCAACAGTGGCTGCGGGAGGAGGAAATGCAGAGAGAAATCTGTGTAGGATACAGGAGGAGGGACGGGATGTCGTTGCGGTCGTTTTGTGCGATCCGCTCTCCTCCGAGAGGCAACAAATCCTGTGAGGTACGTCCGGCTTAGCAAGAGAAAAGAGTCAGGGTCACCCATTGGCTTGGTGGCCAAGAGAGGATTTAAACCCGTGTCTCCCAAGTCTGACAACACCCTTAACAGCTAGATCTCTGTCAAGACCCCCCTGGCTTAATGCAGCAAAGAAGCCCCAGGCATTCCCCACACCCAACTTGTGCTGTTCTGACGCAGGGCCCCAAACCAGTGTCGGCTGGGTTTCCTGCTCTGCTGCCTGAGAAAAACAGGATGCGGGAGAGAAGAGGTGTTCTTTGGAAGGAGCGAGATAAGAATGAAGGGTGTTCCTGGAAGAATGTGGGAGGCCTTTGGGCAGCGGGAAGAAGGACGAGCCCCACCGGGCAGGAGGGTTCTGTGTGAAAGACAGGAAGGGTGGCAAATTGAGGTCTTTGAGCCTCTCTCTCTCTCTTTCTCAAGGAACGGCAGCCGTTGTCATCAAGTCAAGCCTCTGTCACCCTCTGGAGCTCCTGGTTTTCTAAAGACAGAGGGCGTACGAGGCCTGTGCTTGAGCTGGTCTGGTCCAGGGCTGAAGGGGGTCTCAGGGTGAGGAGCTGGATTCCAATCCTCACTCAGCCATGAAGTTCACTTGGTGGACCTTGAGCCTCTCGTTCTTTTATAGCCCAGCCTACCTTACAGGGCTGCTGTTGTATTGAGGATATTTTGTGGGGGGGAGGGAGGGAGAGGGAAGGAAAACTTGGCCCTTGAGTTTGTGGGAGAAAAGGCAGGCGATCAGCAGGTTAAAGAAGGACAGGGACTGCCGCTGTGTGTCACGGGCGAAGACCTGGGAGGATTTAACTTTGCCCTTGCGTCTGTGGGAGAAAAGGCAGGCGATCAGGAGGTTAAAGAAGGTCAGGGACTGCTGCTCTGTGTCACGGGCGAAGACCTGGGAGGATTTGGCTTTCTCCTGTGCTGCAACACCCGCCTCATGGGCCAAAGGGGCACCTGCGGAACTCTCTGCCATAGGAACCACACCCCTGTCCTCTTGCTCAGTCTGACCCCAAGTGAAAACTTGGTGGTCCAGCGGAAGCAGAAGGTGGGGGTGGGGGCTTTTTCCTTCCTTCCTTCCTTCCTTCCTTCCTTCCTTCCTTCCTTCCTTCCTCTATTGAAAGAGGGAGGCAACAAAAGAGAATTAGGCTCTAGCTTCAGTCTGAGCCAATCTATAGACAAATTTTATTACTTGCTATGGCTCTCTTGGGCTTATATCCAATGGTGTCATTGCACTAGTGCAAGGTCCATTGTACTGGTGGACATACGTACGTTTCTCAAGTCTTCCGTTGTTGCATCTGAAATATCTAAAGAAGTAGCCGAATAAAACTTGCCACAAGATAAACCGCCCATTATTATTATTTTTTGGACTGCCGTTCACATTATAAATCTCTATTCTCTCTCTCTCTCATTTGCTCCCATTTTCCTTTCTCTCCAGATCCAGACCCTTTGTGGAAGCGTCTCCAGTCTCTCTGGGCAGCGAAAAATGTGGAGAAGGTGAGGCCAGGAAAAGAGAGCCTCAGACGCTCTTCCGATGCATCCAGATTTTGGAAACGAGGGACGTGCTGCGCTGGCCCCTCCCCTCCTCCCTCTCTCCTGGCTGTCCCAAGGGTGGGGTTGGGTGATGGGTGGCCTTCCCATGTTCTTGGCCTTCCTGCCCCATCTCCATTGGGGGCTTGAAGTGGAGTGCAGGTGGAGGTCAGAAACACATGGAAGCCTATTCCCCAGCGAGGCCTTGGGTGTACTTCTTGCTAGCCGCCTCTGCCAGGAATTAAAAAAAGGTAAGGTTCAGCTGCTGTACGTGTGGTGGTAGTTCCACCTGTCTGCGCAGTTGCCCAACAGAGCTTGATTATGACAGCCCTGGGGATCTCCGAATGTCTTCGGTAGCCTCCTCTTCTGAACCTGGACATGGTCTTGCCTTCGTCATCCTATTTGCCGCTCCTATCACCTTCAGGGTATCGGGACGACTTGAAAAAGCTCTGCCAGGTAGGAAGCAAAACCCCCGTGTGGCCCATGCGCTGCTCTGTTGTGTTTTCCCAGCTTGAGGAAGAGATCCAGGTGGGCCTGGCTGCTCTGGAAGACCCTTTGGAGTGGCTTTTGGACAGGCTGGAAGACAGCCGGGAGTGGAAAGGGAAGGGGCACAGCTTGGCGACCCACGTGGTCCGGGGGCTGCAAACCTGGCTCAAGAAACATCCCGGGGGCCAACAGGTGAGGCCTGCGTAGAAAACTGGAGGGTTTCCCCACCCCACTCCGCCCCCCCGGTCCCTGCGACATTTAAGAAGTTTCCTTCATCAGTCCCAGAAGGGGGAGGGCTTTGCATGCAAGTTTAATCCTAAGCATCATCTCCAATTACAAGGATCAGGGTGCAAGTGACAGGGAAGCCCTGGGCTGGTCATGGAGGCAGGGGTAACTTTGGGGTCTGAAGAGGGTCTAGCAATACCCCTTCCTGTTATTCTCTCTCTCTTGCACACACTGGGGTGGGGTGGGGTGGGGGTTCCCCTCTCCCAAGTTGGATAGGGGGCTGGGGTGGGGGGGTTCCCCTCTCCCAAGTTGGATAGGGCTGCCTTGTATGACTTTTCTGAGACTCCTGCTCGATGAGGCACGAAAGCAACCTGGTTCGAACCTTCCCCCAATCTTTGGGAAATCCAGGAGATTCCAGAGAGGTGACAGAGGTTTGGGGTGGAGAGAATGGTCAGTCTCCAGAAGCCCCAGCTGAGGCCAGAGCGAAGTGGGGCAAGTGGACGCCGGATAGATCTGGTTACCTCTGGCCGCTGCCTTTCTGGACCTCTGCCTGTCGAGCCCAACATGAGCCCACAAGCACGCCTCGAAAGAGCGTGGCGTCCCTTCTTGGGCATTCATCCCCAGCACCTGGTACTCAGGTAGACTGCTACTAGACCTGGAACCTCGCTTTCTCATAGCTTTTCCTTCATGGATTCCCCCCGCCCCCCGGTGTGGCAACGAGTCCCCTACGTTCCTTTTGCATTCCACCATGCAACAAGTGGTGAGAGAAGGGGTGGGGGAGGCAGTGGGAGCTGGGAACTAGAGGAGGCCCGGAGCCTGGATTTCTTGGGGGATCCACGTGTTTCCCCAGCGGAGAGGCAGCAGCCTGTGAGGAGGCCAGGAGCCTGGATTTCTTGGGGAATCCACGCGTTTCCCCAGCGGAGAGGCAGCAGCCTGTGAAACGTGAGTTCAGGCCACCGGGTGCATCCAAGCGAACGGCTGAGCAGAGCATCGGGGGAGACCCTCTCTCTTTCTCTTTATCTGATTTTCTAGTCCGGCTTGAAGCTAAAGAAACTCCAGGCCCGGGTGTTCCCCATCCTTGCTCAATGCCACGGAAACTTGCTGGGCCCCCTGATCGTCATCTATCAGCTCCATGCCGCCGACCGCCACTATCTGCTGGGCCAGATCAGCCACCTCTTCCACAAGAACAAGTACAAAGAGGTGGGTCTTGCGCCGCCTGGCGCTGTGTCTTCTCATGAGCAGCAGAGGGGACCAGACCAGCCCTTGCCGAGGGACCCTACTGTCTCCTCTTCCTCCTTGCACCCTGGAAGCACAAGTTGAAAAGGTTTTGGTTGTTTTCCCAGCCCTTCCCCTCGGCGTGCTTTCCTTGAGACATAAAGGTGCCATGCGTCCATCTGGCCACTCAGTGGCAATGTTGCTCCCTGCCCCAGTTCCCAGCGTCCGCTGCTTCTGTCTGCGAGCGCGGGTACCGGGAGATGAGAAAGGACTCTTCTCGGTCATGTATCTTCCCGGCTCGAGAATCCCTGGAGCGTTTCTGGAGCCTAAGCAGCTGCTTTGGGTGTTCTGGTTTTCCTTTCCTGCCCATGGAAAACGGGCCTTCCTTCCTCACTAGAGAGAGGCCCACCTGTATGAATGAGACCCACGCCATCCTCAACGTGGGGGCAGCTCCAAATATTTGAAGCTCTGCATGTGGAGCGGACAGAGGCCTGGGCTCAAACCCCCCCTTGGGTCGTGAAAGTGGGCCAGGAAAGGCCTCTTATCTTGACCTACCTCAGAGGGGGAGTTGTTGTAGTGAGGTTAAAGGTCGGTCAAGGAGGGTCATGTACCCCACTCCTTGGAGGAAAAAAAGGGGGGCTATATGTAGGAAAAATAAATAATAAAATAATGCTATTCTGCAGGGTCACATCCCTGGTAGACTGCTCCATTCTGCTGCCCAGAGAACTTGGGAAAGAAGATTTTGGAGGCAAATCCAGCAGTGGCTGCAGGATTTTGGGACATGTAGTCGCCAAAGTAATTGTTCCGAAGGCATGTGAGGGAGTCCCGTAAGCAGAACCTGAAATGTTTCAGAACCTGAAAGCATCTCACCTCGCATAGCTGTTAAAAAGCAGCCGGTCCTCGGTGATAACGCTGGTTCTGAACAGAGAGGATCTCTCACTCCTGGCAGGCCTTGGTGGGTTTGTGCAGTGAGGCCCTCCTAACGCTTGCAGCAGTGAGTTCCATAAATTAATGGCACACGCTCTGCAGAATTCCTGAAGGATAAATATCGAGAGATTGCCACTGCATCACCCTGCCTGCAGAAGTAACCGAGGAGAGAAGCTGGCAACCCTCTCTTGGCCTTCTCTTCAACACGGATTAACTCTCTCTAAATATCCACATAATGGATATTTCTCTCCACCGTGTCCTGAAATGTGCAGGAAGGGCTGAGTTGTTCCGAAAGATTTGGAGGCCATTTTGATCCCACGGAAAGAGGTTAACCAGGGCTTCTCCCTCTAGCCTCGATTTAAATTGTTGTTTTGGGCATTCCTATTGACTTTTCATCCAGGAAAAGTTGCAAAGGGGGTGCACCGGGTCCAGCGCTGAAGCCGGCGAAACACCATGAAAGCGACTTAACGAAAGAGTGAAAAAGTAATAAATTATTTTTTTAAAATTAAAATCACTAAAAGGATTAGGCACCCTAGCAGAGATAGGTGTACGCGTAGAGGAAGGAGACCTCCGGTGTGATCAACCACAAGACGAGGCAAAAGCGATGTGCCTCCGGTCGCCATATGCAGCTGACGGAAGTTGGCCAAAGCAGATTTTGAGGGGGCCCAGAAATCTACTAGCTGCTTTGTGTAGATTAAAAAGTGAGGCGAGGACTGCTCCCGTGGGTGGGTGGGGGCACGGTCTCTGTTCTCCCCCTTCGGGTGTTGGACGAGCGGTTTCTCCGGGAACCAAGATGGCTGCTGGCGGATGCCCCCCCCCTCCCCGTTCTCTCTCTCTTTTTCTGTCTTTTTTGGGAGGGAGACAATGCCAGAATTGAGGAGACTCTGAGGCTAATATAGCTGCCACGGCCCCCTGAATAGGTCTGGGGGCTACGCTTCAGAAAGAGCGAACGAGCGAAGGGGGGGGCGGGGCGGCCGGGTGGTTTGTAGTTCGGCAGAAGGCCGGGTCGTGTTCCATGCCCATCTTACGTTACACTTCAGCCTTTCAAAGGGTGTCTGGGCCCACTTGAATGGGCCTCCCTGGCGCTCCCCAGACCTGCGAGGACGTGGGGGCAGACAAAGGGGGCTCTTGTCATCCGCAAGCCCCTTTGGGCCAGAGGGGAGGGAGCGAAGCCTTTGTCATCGGAACAGGAGCAGTCTGGCGTGCTTTGGTGCCCCCCC